CCTTTGCGTCTTAACTGTGAGGGCACATATACATCAGCAGATACACCAAATACGTGTAAATGCCCAATTTTTGGTTTCCTTCCATACATGAGTTCGTATGGGGTCTTATTGATTGTACTGGACCATAAGCGATTTATAGTGTAATTGGAATAATTAAGGGCTTCAGCCCAGAATGACTGGTTTAAACCAGCATCATCTAACACACATTTAACCATGGTTTGTAGCAAACCATTCTTCCTTTCAGAGACTCCATTTTGGAATGGGGAAAATGGACAAGATTTAAAGTGCAATATTCCTTGTGATTTTAGCCAAATTGAAAATTCGTTGGATAGGAATTCCGACCCCCTGTCAGTCATTATTTGTTTGATTTTGGTATTGTATTGTGTTTCTACCATTTTAAAGAACTCCTTAAATTTTTTGAAAACCTCACTTTTGTGGTTAAGGGTGTATACAAAACCAAATCTACTATAGTCATCGACTATGGTCAGGAAGTATCTTTTTTTGTATTTAATTGAAGGTTTTAATGGGCCTACTACATCCATATGAATTAGTTGAAAGGTTGATTGTGTGGTGCGGGTGGCTTTTTTGGGTTTTGGCTTGTTTTTAATTTTGGAAGAATTGCATACAGAGCATTCTAAGTAATTTTTACAGTTCTTTATTTTTAAATCTTCGGAACACTCTAACATTTTTCGTATGACTGGAAAGCTCGCGTGTCCTAGCTTTCTGTGGAGTAAGTGACTACAATTATCGTGAATAGGTTTTCCATTGTTTAAATTTTCAGACATATTAGTATCAGTGTTTGATGCATTCTTATCATTATTTTCATCATGGCTATCTGAATTTGGTTTTTTGTTTCTTAATTGATAGTTTGCATAGACTAGTTCGTTATCTTGTGGCAGTAGGTATGTTAGTCCATCATTTGTAAATAGTTTACCTATGTTTCTGTTGTTCTTAGTCATGAATACCTTTCCACCTCTGAAAGTGGTTTCTATTGCATTGTCTAAGCTTAACTTTAGGGTTGCCAATATGTTATTTAGAATTTCGGGCACAAATAGTACCCCCTCTATTTTTCCTATACCTTTTATATGCGTGTCTCCTATTCCTCTCACTAGGACTCTATTTTGGTTTGCTACTTTAATATAATATTTCTTTTCAGTGAAGTTACTTAATATTTCTCTATTATGAGTTGTATGGCATGTGGCTCCTGAATCTATGAGCCAGGTGTTGAGTGAATCAGATATCAAAGTGTTATTATTTCTTATTCCATATAGTGATCCTTTCTTATTTTCTCTAGGGTTATTTCTGTATGTTTGTCTTTCTCTAGAGTGTGGTGATTCTCTTCTCTTATACCTGTAATCTGGGGAGGTTCTGTCTAAAAAATGTATTCTTCTATCCTTGTGTTTATATGAGTCACTGTATCCTATATTCTTGGGACAGTCTCTACTCTGATGTCTTTCAGATCCACATGTGAGACATTCATGTGGGTATCTGTCTCTGGCCCTGAAATCAGTCCTTCTTTGATTTCTACCTTCTCTTTGTTGTGTATATCGCTCTCTTCTAAGTCTATCTTCAGTAATAAGCTTATTGGTAAGGTTTTCTAAAGTAATTTGCTCTATACTTAGGTTATCTATTAGTGTAATGTAGTTATCCCAGCTGTGATCTAGTGAGTTAATTATAATGCTTTTCATGGTGTTGTCAGAAATGGTTTCTCCCCTTTGAATAAGGTCTGCTCTTACAGCGTTTAAATTCAAGATATGCTCACTCATGGATGTATCATGTTTTAGTTTGGCAGAATAGAATTCCCTAGAGATTTTTGTGGTAGTGGCTACATTTTTGCTATAGAACAGTCTGAATAATTTTTGATATACTTCAAATACAGTTAAATTATGCTCTATACTGGGGAGTATACTTGGGGAAATAGAAACAATTAACATATAGTATGCTTTGTGGTGGAGGCAGTCTATTTCATAGGTCCAAGGCTTATTTGGTGGGTTATCAATAAAAAATAAAACATTTTCTTTCATATATACAATCTGTAAACACTGATCCCATTCCATTAAGTTGCTTCCATCTAATTTCAATTTTATAAAGTCTGGAGGTATTGTCCCTGAGTGTAGTGAGGTGTTATTCATGTTTAGTAGCTGTCCATGATTTAAGACCTTAGCATACTCACAATAAGGCCTGGGTATGGTAGATGTATGTCTGTATTTACTTATCTCTATGTTGCGCTGACTTGTATTTATGTTTCCTTCTTCTTTCTTTGCAGGCTCGTTCTGGGCATGCTCAGTCCTCATTTTTCTCCAGCAGTCGATGAGGGAGGTTCCTGTGTCTGCAGCTCCTGGGGTGAAGTCCCAGACGGCCTTCTGTTGCTCTGCTTTGTTTCCGGAGGGCCTCTGGTGACTGAAGAATGCCTGGAGTGCTGCTCTGCTCATCGGGGAGTCTTCTCTGAGGTCGTCAGTAAGTGGAGCTTGAGGCGGGCCGCCATTGCCAATGGAGCCGGGTTGTTCAGGGAGCTGCTCTTCAGTAGGTAAGTATGATTGCCAGCTTGTCTTTCTTCGGGTGGCTAGGCCTTTCTTTAGACAGTCTATTTCTTTTTGGCCTTTGGTAGATGGTAGTTTAGAATTTTCTATTTCATTTTCTGGTTGTTTGTTTGGTATTGTTAGTTTAGTCCCGAGTGCTGCAGTTAGCACCTGTATAGCATTGTCTATTTCTACTTCAGTAGGTTGAGCTTTGTTTTGTTTAAATAATTGTTTTTTATTTGTTTTTGGACTCGGGTAATCATCTTCTTGGTAGGTTTTGTTTTTTATTTCGTAGTTTGAGGTTTGGAATTCTTTTAGTAATTGGTCAGGCATTTTAGAGGTATTAGGTGGGTAAGATGGCTGCCATGAAAAAGGCGGGAAGCTGTCGCCATCTTTGGTGTCATTTTTGAAGTCAGGGGTTGAATTTCTTACCTTGCAGTTTTCTTGTTTGTTATTTTCGTTATCTGCTGCTGTTCCGTGGTCGTTTATTATGCTGCGGATTTTCACAAGCAGATTTGATTCAGCTGTAGTTGTTTCTATTAATTCTAGTATTTTTCTTTTTACCTCATCTTCTTTGTTTGGTGTTAGCAGTTCATTTTCTTGTAATTGCGTTTGTTTCTTAATATTTTCAAGTGGTGTATATTTGTCAGGAGTTAGTTGAGCTGCCATTCTTTTCGTTATGTATCTGGTGGCAGGTCTTCTTTTGTCGTTATGTGAGTCTTGCATCTTTATGTTCGGTTGGGCCTACCAAACCATCCTCTTGCTACCAATTTGTTGCTAGTTTGGTTATCCTGGTTAGGCCCATATATAAGAGACTGTAGGCTTTCTTGTAATAGTAATATTTATTTCTTTTCTTCCTCAGGAACACAATTAGACAGGCACTAATCTGGGAGGAGCAAGAACTTATATACAGAGAAGGCGGGGCTAATGGTAAGTACTAACCAATGGTAAGTGACACAATGACATCACACAATGACATATAAACAAGCACACATATTTACAGATATCAGGTTAGGTATTTTCATCTGTAACAATGAGCGCTTCAATTGTAGCCACTACTATTAATGTTTTTGACTTTTTCAAAGTATTGATGAATATGCTTAATTTGGGTGGGATTGTACCCAGTTTAAGGAAACTAACATGAAGTGGCAGAACTGACCTAGTATTTATACATTTGTTACATACCAAAATCTTGTATCCAACTATAAGATCAGAGTGTTGATCTAGATGGAGAAGTTCTTGCTTAATGCTTGTCTATTGGATGGGATGAGACTATTTTGATGAAATCAAATAAAACTTTCCTCATGCTTAAAAAATGATACTTGCTACATCTTATTATTTCAAGATTAAATTTGTAAGAATCACAGATATAAATTTAGAGTGAGTGACAGAACATCCAAACTAAATTGGTTATTACACATCGATTCACAGATATCACAGGCCTTCTATACTTCAGAAAGAATATTTAAAAGTGAGAATGTCATGTTTTACATTTATTCCTTCCTGGGTTTTTTTAAACATGATAATTAAATCTATTATATATAAAGACTTTAACAATATTTTAGGGAGCCAGCAATAAAACAAAGAAACCAAGAAGTCATACTACAAAAATTGCCTAAGTTATTTTATAATGGTACCCAACCTTCCAGCCAACTTAAACAGAGGAGGAATCCTAAATGTTGTCTGCATGCAATAAAGCCGCCACGCTACATTTCTTCTTTAAAACGACACTTCCTGTCTTTGATACTAAAGAGACCATGTGTTCAAATATGCACTCCCATGTTCAACTGTCTAAAAGCCTCAATTTGTAGCCAGAAGAAAAGCAACACTGGGGACATGTACAAAGGGTGTTTACGCCACTGAAGTCCTTTTGAAGTGGAAAGACACGGCATGAGGAGGCTTGCAACTATGGCATAGCCTTACCAGTTCCAGTGAGGAGCTCATCTTCAATGGACTGAGGAACGTGGGTGGCAAAACTGTAATTTTCTTCTTTTTAAACTATTTTTATCTTCTTTTATTTTTGAAATCCTCATCTAAGTGGCAGTTTCTTGTATTATAGTGACTCCTGCTGGGAGAGTTAAGTTGAAGTAGCTGAAGGTCTCTTACAGATAGATCAACTCCCGGCCAGTATAAAGATGTCCTAAATGCAGGAGATGGAGTTAAACTGTTCTCCTACCTTGGACGCAATGGCTTCTTTCATCCCTAAGAACAAACCCCCAGGTTTTACAATTGAGACTGAGAAGCTAGTACAGTACTTGTATAATTTTTGATCTACAGCATCACGACGTGAAGCTGCAACAATTAGATGTAAAGGGTCCATTCATGAGGAATAACATCACTTTGACCCTTTGTGTTAGCTCCTACTGCTAATCTTTCCATACGCGTGAACTTACTTTCAATTTGAGGAAGATGAAAAAGTCTTTTGCAAAACCCAACACTGTTTTCTGATCTATGTACCTGAATGTAGAAACGTAGTCTTACCTCGTTTTTTTCCACTACAAGCCAAGCTACTTGTAATCCTTCCAAGCCTTTAAAGGGGACTTCCCTTGTTAGCATCTCCCAGAGAACCTGGAATGGAAAAAGAAAAAGAAAAAGGATTTTTTATTACTGTATTTTGTATTTTAAATGTATTATTAAACCTTGATGCACTGTGATCTGTATCCAATTACTAGGCAATCGAAGCCCAATAGCTAAAACCTGGATATATGTTTGTGCTTAAGAGAGCTATACAAAGTCGACATTAAATATTTCTTATTTTTAATAATGAACCCTTATTTAACAAATACTGAGAGAGAGCCGGGAACTAGATTTTGTGAATATTGTTTTGTACCTCCACTGTTCGATGGTTGAGATAGTCAAGAAATAGAGTTCTTGTTTTCAACTACAAATACTAGAAAATGTTTCTGGAACATACTCTGACTTGTACTTTAAACTAGAGACCTTGGGTTTGTTCTTTCTAAAGTGAAGTCTAAAATTTAAAGAATAGTTATTATAGCAAACAGATTTGTAAGCAACAAAATAGCTTCCATCTTTCAAATATTTCAGTATTAATACCAACTTTCTAGAAATATTTTATACTTAATTACATTTCATACTTAGTCAAATAACAGACATATAAATTTACTTTACAGTACAGTATGATCTCAGCTAATTTATTTGGATGATATTCCACCATTATATCAAACAATAATATAACTGGTTATGTCAGAGAGCAATAATCTCTTTTTTCCAGGCAAGCAGTCATATTTACAAAAGTAACTGCCTCTCTTGACTTCCAAGGGAGACATATTTCTGTTGATCTGTGTTGGAAAATACATTATTTAGCTAAAGTAAATATTTATATTTTCTATTTAATATTGACTGATATCCTATTGATATTTTCTAATAAAGTAACCATCTGGCTAAGAATTCCAGAGATCAATATTCTCCATTAAGTATTTAAAATTCTTAACTTGTGGTTTACATTTGGGTTTAGTTGGGCCAACTACCTTTTTAAAAAGGTAATTAATAACTTATTGCCAGTTGTTGCTCATTTATATGAGGGAAACAACCCTTGATGTTGAGGCAGGTTTTCAATCGCAGAAGGTACCACAGCATCTTAGGGATTAAATAGACCTGATTAAGTCATAAAACTATAAAACTTTATTACTTAAGACAACATTATGCTGAGGACGTAACAATGGAGACAGGGACTACTGTATCCTGTTTTAAAGAATTGTTGTGTGAAGTAAATTCTTCTCTGTTGTGATTATCTGGCTAGGCTCAGGAAAGACCTTTCTCTTCATCATCTTAGCTTTATTCTTTTTCTTCTGTCACACACATACAAAAATGTCCAGATTGACTAAGTCTGTTTACATATAACTATTATTTATTTATTAGGTTTAGATATATATATATCCCACCTTGATTTTATACAGCTAACTCACGGCTACCTATTTTGCTGTTATGGGATGGAGGGAGCAGTTTTACAATTACATAAATAATATGGGAATGCAATTGCAGTAGGACGATTAAACCATTTCTGAAAGGGACAGCTATGACAGATCGAATAAAGAAAACTACACGTATCTAGTTACGAACTTGCTTCAAATTCAGCCACAGTAAAGTCATTTTTAAAAAAAATCTCTATATGGTTCACAAGAATATGTTTCTCAGAATTTTTGGCCAGCATAGCTGGAATGTCCCAAACCTTACTGTCACTCGCAATCACAGCTGCTAACTATAATTCATTAAGAAATACAGACATTTTGCACAACTAAATAACAAACCTAACAAACTTGGGTTTAAAAGAAGTGCACCACATTAAAGAAGTTTTCATCATACCCAAGGTAACATATGTACATTATTACTCAGTGTCATGATACATTTTCAGTTGTCTTGTTATTTCCAAACTTGAAGCCTGCTGTATTAAACATATGCTGTACACATTGTGTTTATTTATTTAAATTTATTGGAACAGATATATGTGTTGGTGGAAATTTTACTGGGCTTACTTTCAACTGCATAACCCTCAGATCAATAAAAAACCATGCTACCTTCCTCCTACTATAAAGTTCCATGTCTAGGACAATAAAACAGTAAATTAGATTATATTAAACATTATTTTGGGAGGCAACAGATATTTATAATTAGATAGATTATAAATCTTAAATCTGAATTCAGTTTTGGGTCATTTTTGTATAACAGAAGATTCTGACTAAAAGCATGTTTACTTTTTAAAACTTGATTTATTTCAGGAGCCTGTGGCTTACTTCCAAATAAAGGGATATGGAACCTGAGACACTCTATTCCAGCTTCATGAAATAATTTGTAAAGGTCAGAAAATTATAGATGCGTATCATAATCGCCTTTCCTCATGTTCTTGTGACTTCTTCACAAAAGACAAGTTCAACTTGACCAAGAAAACGGACTTTTAGGTAGACAGCAGACTGAAGTGGAAAAATGCTTCATGGTACATTGTAAGCAATGTAATAGTTTAATGAATACAATCCATTCTGGCGGAGAAAATAATAAATAAAAGAAACGCTATGGATTCTGCCAACAGAACAATATTTCCCAACATCTTAGTGGTTTACATGTGAAAAGGATTCTGCTCTTTGTTATCACAATTTCAGCTGTGTTTCAAATGATGAAAAGCAGATGTCTGTGCAGCACAAAAGCCATTTGTTAGTGATCTAGATTGTGTTACTCGACCATTCAAAACTTTTATTTACGGATGAGATTGTTTTAAATCAAAAAGTGCCACATTTTTCATGGACTCATTATCTCTGGAGCACATTGTTAGTCTGCTTGATTAGAAGTTGAAAGCCTACAGGAAAAAAAATCTTGATAGGAATCAACAGTGAGGAGAATCAATACTAATGCTCTTAAGTTTACTTGAACAGATTTCAAGAGTAGAATTTAAAATGTGCAGAAGTAAAAACACACGTCTGACAGGGCTTTCTCCTCCTAAATTCCCTCCGAATCTACCCTCCCCTTCTAAAAATTGTGCTTTAGAAGAAACAGATTTTGAGATTGCACAAAGGACTGGGAATTTGCTCATTTCTGTCCCATTGGGAGTAGCAAGGGAACAACTTAATTAGATTATTATTTATTTATAAACATTTAACTCTGAGCCAAACTGCAATTATTTCCAAATTTTATTCTCTCCCTAAATGTTTCAAGCTCTTTTCGCTATTTAAGATGCAGAACACCAAGCCGGGTGTGTGTGGGGGGTGTGGTATTACAGGCTTTGAAACTGTGTATATGTGCCTGAAACATATAACTGTTACTCAACTCCTTTATTTTAACCCTGGTGCATCCAAACTGTGATATATATGGCCCTGGACAGCTATAATGCCACCCCCAAGATTGTAAGCTTTTAACATTACTTATACATAGATATACATTATATGTTTTACATATGGACCAAGACAATTCCTCTTCACTCAATGCAATCCAGGCAAGTGTAAAGGTTGGACATGCCTGCTTTAACCAGTGATCACTATTTTATCCATAAACCAATTTCTGAACTGCTTCCTTTTATTGGAGTTCATTTTTTCCAAAAACACTTGAGCTGGATTCAAGCTGCAATTCTTGATATACTTGTCTGGCAGTTAACCACATCAAACTTCCTTTAGTTTTCTTCTGAGTGGATATTTACAGGTTTGACTGACTGTAAATAGGCAATAATTACCATAGTTCTCCTTGAAATCAAAAAAACTCAAGTTCTTCTTAACTGCTTTTAACACTGATTTTTAATTAATGAATTAACTAATTAATATAAATTTCATGAGCAAACGTAAAAATGTTTTTAAAGAAACAAGGTATGACTTCTGTGGCAAAGGTGTGAATCTTGGAAGTAGCATATAATCAGATGTTCTCCAGACATTTGCTGACTATAAGCTTGTTGACATGGATATGGTCACAGCTTTTCTGTGCTAAAAATTGTACCACAAAATTAGAGAACAATGATACCCCAAAAAATGTGGGTGGGAGATATATAAAACCCCACAAGTACCTCAGAAATAGAACTTGGTTTTTGTGATTTAACATGTGTATGGATCATGAACATGAATTATATCCAGTTGTCTAAAGATAGATTTATATAACGCATTCAGAAGCGTGGACAGAAATATGTTTACTCACCACACCATATGAATATGTATCACATGTTTCTGATACTGGGAGACTCTGTATTACTTCTGGAGCCATCCAGGGAAAAGTACCAACCAGAGACATGTGTGTTGTATGGGAATGAAATCTTGAAGCCCCAAAATCACAAATCTAGGAAAAAAATATAGAGGATTTTTTTTAAAAAAAAACAAAGCAGCATGCCCAATTCAGCACAACAAATATTTTTATAAAAAGACTGAAATATTCCTACCTTCAATACTCCATCACCAGCTATAACAACTGAAATTTTTTTAAAAAAGAGAAAAGTATATTAATACTATGAAGAAACCATAGGCATTTCTTTAGAAAAAATCACTCCATATATTGTAGGTATATATGTACTGGCAAGACCACTTAAACTCTCTGGCTGACATGAATCAAAAACCAATGGCTTTATTATTGACTTGATTCTTTCTATGCAGGATCATGGCAGATAAATCACCAATAATGTCAAGTTAATGAGTTACAGCAAAGGAGCTGAAAAATGTATTATTAGCAATTACTGGGAAATAATTTAAAACTAAAGTCAAATTTTATAATGCAGTCACATATATCTTTAAAATATGCAACAAAGAATATCAGAGACAATTGTAAAATTTCCCAATCTTCTGAAACCAAAGGAATGAAAAAAAAAAAACCAATGGAAGTTCACTTATCAGTTAGAATGGAGGCATATAAATGTAATAAATAATATGAAAATAAAGGGTTGGGGAAAAACTGAAATTTATGCAATAGTTATTTTTAGCACATTTAGCCAGTATAAAGATGATATGATATGGTGTGTGTGTGTATGTATGTGTATATATACATACACATATGCATACATACATGCATACATGCATATATGATATGCTGATATGATATGATTTCCTGATTTCTCAATAGAAGTATATTTGGTGTATACTAACAAAAATATTATTTCTCCAGGCAATAATTTTGAATTTCATTAAATATTGCTTTAACATATTTAAATGTTTCCTGAAAATGGAACTAAAAAGTGCCAATGGCTAAGAAACAGTGCATCCTACTTAGAATTAGCTGGCAGGTCACACATGACCCTGAAAAGAGAAGAAACATTCCAAATTGTATTCTAGATTCTACCTACCACCACCATATCAAACAGACACTGAAATTCTTTCACTACTTAAGTTATTTTTTGATTCTGTACACTTCTAAATTTGGGCCAATTTCACTATTAAACATTTTAGATGTTTAATACTATTAAGCATTTTAGATGTTTAATACTATTAAGCATTTTAGATGTTTAATAGTGAAACTACTTTAAAAAGTAAAACTAATAGAAAATATTTCAAAATTCTTTTTTATTTTTCTAATAGAGAAAGGGAAATGAAGAAAGATATCATTTTTACCAGAGCTTTCTAATCCCATCTCTAATTGCAAGGTTATAAGAGGAATAGCTGAACTTAATTAGAAGTAATCAAGCAATTGGAATATCATTCTGCACACAAAACCTCAAATGAGTAGGAGATTTTAAATGAAAAAAAGAGAATGCCAACTCATATTCAACTCTCAATCAGCAATATTCAACGCATACTCATTTGATACATCAGCTACTGTAATGCCATGTACCCTGGCCTTGATATTTTAGGCAGGATACGTTCTTTAAAATCCTGTGCAGCACTTTTATAATTCCATATTAAACCTATCAAAGTGGCTTGTGCACTGAATTCTGCTCTTTTCAGTACCAACCCTAAAACGTTATATTTGCAGGAAAAATAAACAAAATTGTAAATTTATGCTGAATTACCATTCCGGGACTTTAGATCTCTATGGATTACTTTGACTGGAGCCTCCATATGCAAATAATGCATTCCTAAAAGTAGGAAAATAAAAAAAAAATTATAAAATTATTTTGCTACATTGGGACTAGCAAACATTAATTGACATCTGTGGGTATAAGTATAGGCTTATTCAATACTGTTTTGTCAATGACCAGGCTGCTGAAGTGCTCAAGTGTGATTCTCACTGCATATATCACCAGGTTGACTTCCCACTGTGTGGTGCAGTTTCTATATCTGAATGTACATTATTAGTAATGTTAAGCTTCCTAGGCATATCGTGGTGTGTGTGTGTGAGAGAGGGGGGGCGGGCGGGGAAGAGAGAGAATGGAGTTTTCAATGAGCTGGTGGCCAGCATACATTCTCATACAATGACTATTGTGCCTGAACCATCAGATGAGTGGCAAATAAATTTGATAAACAAATAGATAAATAAATAAATACATATTCCTCTATACTGAGAACAATCTGCCCTTGAGAAATATTTTTCTGCCCTCTAGAATGAGTACCCCAAGAGATATGATTGTCTCCCCCTCTGGTGGCATTCTGGAGGATCTTAAGGATCTGGCTAGTCTCCCAGGCTTTAACTAGGGCAATTGGAACCACTTTTAAGGTGCATGCATGTTGCTGTTGGCTGCAATTATCATCTTGTTCAGATTTTAATTGGAATTATATATTGTTATTTTTCTTTATTCTGTTCCCCACCCATAGCTGAACTGAGTTGGGCAGTGTCCAGGTCAAGTAAATCACCATCCTCCTTACCATCATCATCTATACACCACAAAGTGTAACTAACTTATAATGTAAACTCAATACAAACTATAAAATTTTGATCATTGAAAAGTATTTATTTTTTGTCTGTATGAAAAAACCCCCACAGAGGTGTTAAATAACACAGGCAAAACTTGACATAGGAAAAATTGATCATTTTTTTGAAATTGGGAGAAAGATTGTTAAAGTTATATATCTGGAATTAAAACCTAATGACTAATCTGAATCTAAATATAGAATACTTTAAATGAATCGTTATTTGTATTTCATATGTTTTGACTGGAAGTATGATCAAGTTTCTTGATATACAAAATATGTATGTTGTTCATCAGTATAAGTATTTCTTGTGTCTGTAGTGGGATCAAAACATTCACTTGCTTTCTACATATAAGGCATTTCTTAAGATACATATACATAACTGAAATACTCCACTAACACCAAAAGCTTCTAAAAATCGAATCCTTTGGACTCATGAGTTCAAGTGTTGTTTTAAGTTTCCACAAACTCATAAAAAATAAATAAAGTCTACTTGAAATGCATTCTTATCGGTATGGATACAAATTATTCTCACTCATCCAGGTTATGGTTGTCCCAAATGTGCTTTCTTTCAAAAGGCAACTGGACTTTCTTGCTTTGCTTGAAGACGTTTCGCTTCTCATCCAAGAAGCTTCTTCGTGTTTACTGAACTGAAGCGAAACGTCTTCCAGCAAAACAAGAAATTCCAGTTGCCTTTTGAAAGAAAGCATCTTTGGAAAGCTCATGATAACTATTTAGTAAGTCAAATTGGTTTTGGAAGATTTTGTAGGACAGATAATTAAGGAATTATCTTTAGGCACTATGAGTAATTCGGATTAATAATTAAGAATAGATATCGACTGAATAGGAAATGGAACTAACACAGAGTTCTCATCCTTTATGAATTATTGCCCTTGCTCTGTCAGTGAATCTCACTTACCTTTAGCAATGTCCATTGCCCAGGTCATTATATGATCCATATCCATTTCTTCACTTCTGTTGCTATTAATATAGTCATACAATGACCCAGCAGAAGCATATTCTGTTACAAAAGAGCAAAAATACACTTAATTTGGCACATAAATGGATGCACAATAATTAACCATCTTTGATTTTAAAAATTAGCAAATTTGATATTACCTACAATATCAAGTTGCAATGACAATTAGTCTGAACAATGTATCATCCAAATACATTAACTTTAAGAAGGTACGATACAATTGATGAATGAAAGTTTGTGAGGATTGTTTTGGGTTTGTGAGTCAATATTGACTCTTGGTGTGTCACTTTCATTAGTCATCTTGTAGAAGGGATTTGCTACTGACAACTTCTGGATTGTTGTTGATTTCTTTCCAGTCTAACCTTAGAGAAAGTGACAGACTCAAAGTCATCCAGTTGGCTTCAGTGTCTAAAGGAAGTCTAGGAACCTGGGTCTATCCACTTCTAGTCCAGTACCTTAACTATTACACCATACTGGTTCTCAAATATTAGGCAAATTATTTTAATACAGAGATAATGAATATGAGAATAAAAAATACAAAAAATTAATAAGGTTTTTTTTATTCTGATGGGATTGATATGAAGAATTTTAAAATAATATATTTAAATAAACACATAAATGAAATAACATTTAAATATATATTAAATAAACATATCGATACATATATCTCATTAAACAGCAAAAGAACTAGCCAGCAAAAATTAAGAGACTGCATAATCTCTCCCTAACATTATGAAATGGATATAAAGATGACTACAGATATTTCTCATGGATTACAAAATGTAAATAATCAGTCTTCACATTCTGGGTCAGATTGTGTGTACCATGAAAATAATACCAATCCCATTAAATGTAAAGAAATTCATAAAGAAATTTGATGAAACTAATCTAAATCATAATTATGCAGCCTATAGTTTTGCTCTGCATGTTATTAAAAGAAGGGTGGCATGAATCATTAATCATACACATAGACACTATTCTTGATAACTCTGGGAACAACAACCAGAAATTACATCATCCTCATCATCCTCATTTGCATGCATGTACCAGTTTGGTCTAGTCTAGTGGTTAAGGCACCGGGCTAGAAAAGGGGAGACTGTGAGTTCAAGCATGAAAGCCAGCTGGGTGACTTTGGGCCAGGCTCTCTCTCAGCCCAACCCACCTCTCAGGGTTGCTGTTGTGTGGAAAACAGGAAGAGGAAGGAGTTATTTATAAAAGCAATAAAGGTGGGGTACAAATAAAAAAATAAAAAAAAATCTTTTTTTCCATAGGAGCAACAAACCTAAAAGTGTAGCACGGGGGCGGGGAGCTTTTAGTAGAACAAAATGATATTAGCAAAAATATCTTGCATTAACCTATATATTAGTTAAATCTATTACAACTAAAATGTATTGAAATGAACAAAACTTTTCAGTGTGACAAAAGGATGGCACGAAGCACATCCCTGAACATTAACCCATATCAACTACCGTTAATTTCATTTCATTTTATGAAAGTGTACTTTCATTTACACTTTATCCAAAACTCACCCATTTGGCCCGGGGGTGGGACGGGGGACCTTAGCTAGAAGAAATTTGCATCTGCTTTAAATTTACTGACCTTAGCAAATCCTCCAGGTTATCAAATAAGAGGGAGTCCTTGGAAATACTATGTTTCTTCAAGATAGACAGACAGTCTTCAAGTCAATCTTGACTCTTGGCAACTGCCTTAGCAAAATTTTCAAAGTGGTTTACCATAACTTTTTCCTCAGGTCTAAGAGAGGCAAGATCCCACAGCTAACTTCATGCCAAAGGCAGGACTAGAACTCCCCCTCTCCTGGTTTCTAGCCTGGTGCCTTAGCCACTACACCAAACCAGCTACCCAGCTCATTTAGAAATAGAAATTCTATTCTAGCATTTAGAATACAACAATAAGCACATTTAAATATGTGAAATATATTCATATTAATATCTCAACACACAGAAAGACACATGATCTGAAACAGAATCTTATATAGAATATACAGTATATGTTGCATTGTGTCCAAGCAATACCGATCACTGGTATTTTCTAATCAGAGAAGACTAGAAGAATCAGGAATGGGAGGATGCATGCCAGAAGAAGAAAAAGAAGACTTAAAGATTTTTGCCTCCCACCAGCATTTCTACTTAATCAAAAACAGAGTTTCTAGCTGCTTCATAAAGGCTAAAGTATATGGAGTAAATAAACTCCATATACTCCATATATACTCCATATGGAGTAAATAAAAAGGCTAAAGTATATGGAGTATATAAAATAAAGTCCCAATGGACAGCTCAGTTTTTTAGTGGTTCCCACAGTGAGAAAGGTGGGCCTTTCCTGTCAGGCTCAGGTCAATTTGTAAGTCTAGTCTGTTGACAGAAGAAGTAAGATTGAAATATGTTTTCAGTTCATATAGCTCACTTGGCCATATTTCTAATAGGCCTAGATTTTTGTAACATTGGCTCAAGATTTTTATAGAGACATACCCACCCACCCCCTGCATAAGAGGCAGGGTTATAGCAGATCCATTTTGGCTCTGTAAGTGTGCCTCACTGCCAATTGAAGACTAACCTGTAGGATTTGCCCCCAAATTGTCTTTCTGTCGGTAGAATATAATGGCAAAATTGCTGTTTCTTATATCACTCTTATTTTCTTCCATCTTGACAGAAGACTACATAGGCATAACGTACATATTGTTCTCTATCCATGTGCAAAAATGCCTGTATCGTTTAACCAAAGGAAATACCAACTCCTACAACGTGCCAGTTTTGGTTTCACAGAAAACACTCCAGACCTTACAATTAAATAATATTTGCAGGAGTAAAGCAATTCTTTTTTTCAAATTATATTAACATATCTTTCAACTTGAAAAGAAAGGAAGGTTATTTTTTAAAAAAACATAAGTATACAGCCATCTACTGAAAAAATCCAGTGCTTCAGAAACATCACCCACATATCATAAAAGCAGGAAGATCTGTAGTTTACCTGTAACTATGCCATAGTTTGGGGGTTCAATAACAGCACCATAAAACTGAATGATATTTCTGTGGCTCAACACGCTGAGTATTTCTGCCTGTTCAAAATGCAACAAAAACACCAGATGTGAATACAAAACGACATAATTCTATAATTAACACAAAACCTCTGAATCATTATCTGTATCAATAGTTGTGCTCAAGGTAGCTAGCAAGAACAGAAATTCGGAAATCACCATTAAACCTACAGATTATACAGACTAACATTTGTCTAATTAAAGCAATTAAAGCATCTTTAAAAACAAATATACGAAAAAAGAGCTGATGGCTTAAAAACAAATGTTAAGACAGAGAAACAAATAACATCTAACAATTCATCAAAACTCACCTTGACAGACAAACCGGTTTAGAGCTTCCTTATCAAAACCCTGCTAAAATAAACATGTTTATATTTGCTGACACAATGATAACTATTATTATTATTTGGAAAGTACACAACATTCCTTGGCACTTTGGAAAAGCAGCTACTAAAAATTGTTTCCAGTAGTGGTGGGATCACTACTGAAAGAGCAATTCGTGAAGAACTCAAAGTTTGGGAAGATTTATATGGGAGAATGAGATTTTTTTTATATATATAGCCTAGTTTAAAATCCTATACAGGTTTAAAGAAACACACTACATTAAGTAGTTTAAAATGAAGGACATGTGCTCTCTGGAACTTTTCCTGTGGCATCCTGGATTAACTGAAGTTTCTGAACATACTTCCAAGACTGTCCAACTATAAACTATTAATCAAAAGTTAGAATAGAGACCAGGGTGATAAATGTCCTGAACTAGATTCACATCTATCTTTAACCACAGAAACCTGGGTTCCTCCTAAGGCATCACCATATATAGTAAAGATAAAGGCCAGCAGTGAAATGCATTTACCTTTGCTACCGGTTCGGGAATGTGAGCGCGCACCTCTTCTGCACATGCGCAGAGGGTCAAAAACGGGACATAATGATGTCCTGGTGGGTGGGCGGAACCTCCCGCCACCGGCACTACCAATTCACGTGACCCAGATAGATCCAGCCGGATTTCACCACTGGTTTCCCCTGTCCAGCCGTGTCCGACTCTAGGGCACAGTGCTCATCTCTGTTTCTTGGTCAAGGGAGCCAGCGTTGTTCGAAGACATTTTCCATTGTCATGTGGCCAGCATGATTATACGCTAAAGGCGCATGGAATGCTGTTACCTTCTCACCGAAGTGGTACCTGTTAATCTACTTGCATTTGCAATCTTTTGACCTGGTAGGTGGGCAGAAATGGGAGCAGGAACGGGAGCTCACCCTGTCATGAGATGCTCAGGTCTCAAACCCAGACTGTCAGCTTTCCAGCTGACAAACTCAGCATCTTTTACCGCCAAACAGCAATCTAATAATAGCAGAAGGGAATTCCCATATAAGCCACAAATTTCCTAGAGGAATGCTAGGATATAAATCTAAAAAATAATTAGGTAATAAATAATGAAGACATGTAGATATAGGATTAGATACAATATTTTCAAATGTGCTCCTGGCTACCAATAAAATGTTGACAAGACAGCCAAGTGAGAGACATGGAGGCTTGCTCACAAAACAGCTTTTATGCTGAAGTACGTTGAGGCAAAGAAATCACATAGATAAAAGTAATGATAAACGCAATGCTTCTAGCTTGTGATAATACTTTTTTTTTTAGTTGTCACAACCACTGAAAATGAAGCTACAGCACACGGCAAGTTCACCAATCCATACTATTTGCTTCCTTTTGTACCTGAAGACAATCAAGATACAAGGTAGAAGCCTCTGCTTATCAGAGATTGTCTTCAATCTTTCAAAGGTATCTGTAAGAAGAGTCACCTTTGACAAAGGATAGGAATGTCACAAATTAGTGGCTTTCTAATTTAGCAGTTCTAGAAAATTGCGCCCAAAATTTAGAAATTGTTAACATTAGAACTATCAGAGGTACAGGCTCCATTTTATCAATTAAACATCAGAGGTGAGGTTGGCCCCAACCCTGCTGATTTTCTGGAATCCCCTCAAATCTTGATTTTGTCATCAAGATCTACAGATCCCATGGAAGCGTAGTGCCCATTAAATGACTGGTATAATTTTGATTGCATTCTTCTGTCTTTTGTAATTATGGTTGAAGGAACAAAGGGAAAGAATGGATTCCGCATTCATCCCAGAACAGTTAATGGAAAAGCCTGGAACAGTTAACGGAAAGGCCTGGAATAAGAAAATAAGGTTTATCATAGTTTTAGGTTCCTAAGATTTCTCCACTTTTCTTCCAGTGGAAGTCCTCACATGTCTTTTTAAAAAGGAAAAACAACAACCAGAAAGCTCATTTACAGAACAGTTGTCACTCTAACCTTGTCCTATTTTCCATGATTATATTGACAGATAACTCTCTTACCCTTATGTTAATCATAAATATAACTTCCATCATGGGCTACAATCAAACAAGGATAGGACAGGGTATTTTACATAACTATTTTTGCTGCCTCATGTTTTGCTATATCTTTCTGGTTCTCTAACACATAGAAATAGTTATCTTTTGTTGCTCATTATCACTGTCAATAAAGCTGGAGGAATCCATTGTAGACAGAATGGCTTTAATGTGAAGTAAAGCCTGAGGACAGGAGGAGAAAAGGAAGAGTGATATGATTAGGGAGTTTTACAGCAAATTACTAATTCTAGAATGTTTTGGAGAAAACTTTGTTTGTTAAATTGTTAGAAATATTTAGCTAGGGGTCCAAAGGTCCCTGTGCCTGTTGCAAGTATAGTAATTTTCAAGTAGGTTCCAAAAGAGAAAATTGAACAAGTCAGGAACTGAGTATATTGGAATGTCTAGTTTTTATTTATGTATTTATTTTGAAGAAATTGATTCATTGAGAAAAATGTTTGTCACTACTTCAAAATCTTATCTTGATGCAAATCCCTTTTTTTCTATCAAACACAGCAGGTTATGAATGACACAAGATCCATCCAAAGGCAAAAGAACAGTTTGTTCTAACCCCATTTCAAGAACATGCAAAGAAAAGATGTAATTTAAATCTCAAATCCGTAGCTGAATAAAAATTTCACTGGTACCAACTACCAAATAAAAGCTTCACTGGTTGGCCCCAATAAAGATATGACCAGTTATGGATTTTTCTTAAAGATCAACATGCTGACAATTTATGTTTAATATTTGCTTATCTATTTGTCACAACACAGAGTGCATTTTCTTCAGGTTGAGATTAATTCTCAAGATCATATCTAGAAAATACATTCCATTTGCTATCAAATCAACTAATTCACACCATATTTAAAAAATCAGCTAAATTTCCCAGCATGAGGTACTCTTTCATGAGACAAAATTACAGGGTTAGATGTGCTTAACTACTGTAGCATTCTGCGCTGCAGAACATCACTAAATGATTACTAATATTTATCGTTATTTCATGAGAGTTCATTAGTGTTATCAAGGCAAGAATATTTACTATGTCTTATTATAGGAATAACAAAAAGTCACATTAATCAAGTGCTCCATTACCAAAGTAATAACCCAATCTCCCACAAGAGGAGCTGTGTAAGAACATTACTCAGACAAGCACAAATGCACTGTAGCAACCCAGAACATTAAAAAAGGCAACAGACTGCCTACACAACATTTTCCAACAAAATGGATACCCTCTCAACTTCATCAAAAAGTGCCTGACCATTCAATGCACTACAGCACAGCCAACACAAACTATGAAAACGATAGTGCTACCATGCATCAGAAACATCGCAAAAACAACCAACAAACTATCACAACCACATGATATCACTGTAGCATGCAAACCAACTAAAATCCTCCAAAACATCCTAAGTAAATCAAAACACCTAATAGCCTAAGAAGAAAAAACCAGTAGTCATACAGTGTAAGGACTGTTATGTATTGAGTACATATACAGTTGTGTTAAGCCCTGCTAAAGTCAAACTAACCTTTAGATGACCCTAACTGTTAACTTCAACTGTTTTGGAGGGAAACTTAGAACATTCATATTTGGACAGGCTTTTTCAAGTATTATGATTGGTTGAGGCACTGTGGGCCCAGAGTATAATTTTATACTCTGGGCCCACAGTGCCTCAACCAATCATAATACTTGATTACAGGAATCTGCCTGTTGTTGCTCAGTTCCAGTTGAGTCAATAAATGCTGTTGTGTCTAAGCTGTCTGTTCTTGCCTACCGCATGTCACAACATAAGGACTGTAACAGCTACTATATAGGACCATCAAGCAGAATACTAGCAGAGCACATCCATGAACACAGTAAGAAGGCACATCTTAATCTCACAGCATGTGGACAGACTTAACCATAGTTTAAACTGGGCAACTGTGAGCATCCTAGACCAAGCTAAATCCAAAAACACTAGGGAATTCCTGAAAATCTGGCACTCTGACACATCAGCCACCAATAGACATGTAGAGATTCCTTCTTAAAAAATTAAGAAGGAAACAAAAAACAAAACAAAAAACCCAGAACACATCCTCTTCAGTAGCCTATATCCAAAGAAGCAGGGCTTAATAGCAGACAAACAACCAAGGGAAAAACAATATTCTAATCAAACAACTATCAAGGAGACACATAATCAAACTGACAAACAATCAATCAGAAAACAATGTCCTTCAAGGATTAGCTAGGAGAAAACCACACTACACTAACACTAGCACGACAAGCTATTGTATACAGTATAAACAAAGAGCAAACCGCACACCCACCAGCACTGAAGATCTTACCTAATCGGGTAATGGAGCATCGGCAAGCAAACAATTAAGCTCAGAGAACACCAAGGACTCCTCAGTATTATAGGAATAGCAATATTGTTTAGAAATGACTGCTGGAAGATAAAAAAAATCACCCAAGTGTTCTGCAGTATTTTAAAGTTCTATTGAAGTAAAATCCAGGGAAAGTTGTCACACAACAGCTGTTCTCCTGCAATGTTTTACAAAAAGCACTTCTTCCTTTAATTTTTATCGCATAATACAGATTAACAGACACACGCTAACAAAGGAACATGTAATTCTTATACAGTAATTGTTAGTTTATGTC